CCCAGACTTCTCGTTGAGAAAAGGGTGTCAATAGCATTCAGAGACCAGTTGATCAAATCCATAATTCTCTTTTAGGTTTTAGAGAACGACAGTGAGAGATTGTTCGAGGGAAAGTAATACACACGAGACAAGACAAGGATACAAGAGGCTAAGCAAGGAAGATAAGGGTAAGGAGGAGAGGAGAAAAGGTGTGACCGCCTTCGCATTTGTACAGAAGTGCTGCTAAAGATACTCACACATCCACTATTAACACAGACTCTCCCCTGTGTCTGATGAGGTCAAGCAGGTACTGAGAGTCTGGTGTGGGGATGTTCAGGGAGTTCACAATGTGAAGATCATCCTTTGTCAGCTAGCAGTTCAAAAGGGGGGAAAGTATCAGCTGTCAAGAAATATTACGGATACGTAATAATGTAGTTAAAGTCATCGTGTATCCTATTCTCACATTTGTTATGTGCTCTAATTATAGTGTCACAGATAAAGAAAGGATTTTCTTTCTTTCTTACAAGTTCGTCACTGTCACCAATCTGCTACAAACCAAATACTCTCAAGAAATGATATGAGAACATAAAGGGTGAAGAAATTCTCCATTTAAAACAAGTGGATTTATCTCCTCCCCTCTTTAAGCAAACTTTCTTCTAAGTGGCTAACCACTGCAAACAAAGGGTCTGAACAATAGGTGGGTGCGGCTTCTGTATTCACATGTGTGAGATATCTGTACGGGTTATCGTCTCTGTGACATCATAACAACAGCAATAAGCGCTTGAGATAAGTGGGTGACAAAAACAGCTGCTTGTGGACACCGTCATATGTTACTGCATGTTTTACAACTCTTATTACAGATGTTATGAGCCTCTAACATCACTAGCAGCTGTATTTGCTCTTCACATGAAACAAAGGGGTTTCTCTTACCTGAGCCATCTTGGAGCTCAGCGCCACTTTGAGTCCTTGCACTCGAACTTTCATGGGTAACATGTAGTAGTAACTGGTGGGTCCTCTGGGTCCATGAGACACTCCACCTGAATGAAACACAGAACCAGTCAGACCATACTTCCAGATCAACTCCACTGAAGGGTGATCATGTTTCTGGGAGTCATGACACAGAGACGAGCATACACTGGACTATAATGAAATGAAAACAGAAGTTTTACAATAAGATCAAAAAGAGGCACGTCCTCTCCAAATGGGTGATCGGATGCTTCCATGCCGAGCTCGTCCACTTCCTTTCTGTTTCCAGGGATTCCAGCTGTACGGGTACAGGGATTTATTGTAGGGGCGGATCTAGAAGGGCGGCATGGGGTGGCCACCCTAAAATGATCTCTTGCCACCTATAGTACCACCCTAGTTTTGCATATGACATTGTTGTTTATTAAAATAAGAGCATTGACACTTTGAGCCATCTATATGGCTAACACTAAATATAAATTCTAAAACTGAATGTATTCCATTGTGTTACACCCCCCCCTTCCACCATTAAGAAATGGTTTAGCCCATAGCGCAGACCGGCTTTATTTCTTGCTTTCAGTAGCAACCAATGCCTATGATTGTGCCAGAGCACATTTTGAATCAACATCATGGGTATTTCAGACTTCACACAGGTGGTTGGTTGCTACACTCTGGAAATGGAAAGAAGGTGAGTCTCCTTAACCCTCTGTGGTTATAGAACTCAAGGTCCCCGTGCTGGGAAAACAGGATTTGCAGCTGTTTAAGCTAAGATTTCCAAGTTATACACATAATGAAAACCTATACTTTGTTTCGGTCGAGTTCCCCATTCAAATGCATGTAACAGTGAGAAACGCA